TTTAATTACAATGTACAAGAGGCCTGATACTTTCAGGGAAGAACATACTAGTTTATTTCAAGACTATAGGAAATGACAAAGGCAATGAAAAAGAGAATAGTCACCCGATTTTGATTTTCAATCAATTAAACTGCCAAGTATATTTATTTTGTTTTATTTATTCATTTACCTGTTTACTTATTTGGGGGTGCAGGGGAAGAACTCAGGGCCTCATGCAGTCAAGGCAAATGCTTTACCCCTAGCTAAATCTGCAGCCCCTGCAGGAAAGACTTAAGATAAAGGATCACAAGAGACTCAGTACCGAGCCAAGGATAAAACAAGACCCAACAATGAACATGTAAATCAGGAGTCGTTATTTGTTCACTTTTCATTCATTGAAGTTTATATGTAAAGTAGCGTCAGATGATGAAGCATGGTTTTGAGGGATAAGATCATTGGTTCAAAGGAGCCATGTCCCAGGATGCAAACAGAAAACTCACTTTCACAGGCGGAGCCCCATGGCCACGTGGCCCCCTCGGCAGCAGTGGGTGTCTGAGGGTTAAGTGGCACCCTGTGTTTGCAGAGCAGGACACAGAACGGATTCTTGGAAAACAGGCGAGTCCCCGACTGAACAGAGCCACCTGACCACACGCTGGGTGAGCAGAGGGGCCTGGCGTGGGCCCCTCTTCCTCCAGGCTCCTGCAGACACTGGGCACTGCCTCACTGGCCTCCTCAGAGGATGCGCTAGTGCCCTTCCTCGGCCAGCCAGCTTCACAGCTGAGGAAGAACGGGAGCCCAGGGTCTGGGGATGTAGCTCAGTGGTCTGGGGATGTAGCCTCTGTGCTGTGTGCCACATCACCCACCCTGCAGGACCCCTGGAGAGCAGGGCTACGCTGGCAGCCACACAGCCCTCGTTCACAGAGGAGAACAAGAAACAGGCCGTGGGGCACCTGCCTCAATCACACAACAGAAGCAGAAAGTGGGCCAGCGAGGTGTCTGGACCACTGCGCCTTGCCACCCGCATCAGCCACCCGCGTCAGCAGCCAGAATTCTCTAGCACAGCCCCCTGAGCAAGGCGAGCAGCGGCACTTGGGGAGTGTGAGACCAGCCAGGTGGTGCCGAGAGTTGGGAGTCAGGGAGGCTGGAGAGGCCACAAGGCCCAGCCTGGTTCCTCCAAAGACTAGCTGCTTTTGTTGTGTTCCTCTTTTTCCACTTGCTATTTCAGAATCATGTATACATAGTCTTTAAAAATTGGGAAACATTTAGTCAGTATTATGGATGAACATATTTCAAACTTTTGCAAGCTGTGAATTGACGGCACATCTAGGTGGGCTCACCGTGTAACCACTCAAACCACCCCTGAGAGACCACACCCCACACCTCTCACATCAGACCGAGAGGAGCTGCTATCTGCAGAATGTCACATTCCCGTCCAGTGTCTCTCAACTCAATCATCACTGAGAGATAGCCACCAAACACGGCATTTCATTGCTTATCACTTTTTGATCAATGCCAGGAAAGATTTATTTTATGGCAACCAAGACAAAATCAAATTTTAATACTTCTGGGAAATTCAACATTATCTGAACTTCACAGAACAGATCAGAAGGGTTTGGGTGCACTCATCAAGTCGTATTAATGATTCTGTGGCACAACGGGAAAGCTCCTTTTCTGCTATTATTTATTCCTTTGCACCTCTCCCAGAACTGGAGAGAGAGAAGGTGCTGAATTGGTCTCCACAGAGGCTGACTTGCACTGTCATGAACTGTCAGCAGACAAGTCTCAGGACCGGCAAGTTGGGAGAGGAGACAGTTTCAGAGAGCCCTCGGGTCTCCAAAGAGGGCCTCCTGTGTGGGCCTGCTTCCTCTGCTGCCAGCAGCTCTCACTGGGACTCCTGTGCTCTCCGATTCTCTACGTCAGGCACTAGGCAGAACCTCCTCACACCAATGCGATTCAACAAGCAGTCTCTCACCCACTGCCTCTGCCAGGTGTGCTCCTCAGACGTCACCAGCCCAACAGCCACTGGGAGGCCAGCAAGAGCAACACCTGCAGCACTAAGGTTTCAAATGAGTAAGTCCCTCTTCTAAGGAACCATGCAGAGCCTGGATCCCAGTTAGTCTTCTAAGGGACCATGCAGAGCCTGGATCCCAGTCAGATTTCTAAAGGGCCATGCAGGGCCTGGATCCCAGTCAGACTTCTAAGGACCATGCAGAGCCTGGATCCCAGTTAGTCATCTAAGGGACCACGTAGAGCCTGGATCCCAGTCAGACTTCTAAGGGACCATGCAGAGCCTGGATCCCAGTCAGACATCTAGAAGGCCATGCAGGGCCTGGATGCCTGTCAGACATCTAGAAGGCCATGCAGGGCCTGGATCCCAGTCAGAATTCTAAGGGACCATGCAGGGCCTGGATCCCAGTCAGACTTCTAGGGACCATGCAGGGCCTGGATCCCAGTCGGACTTCTAGGGACCATGCAGAGCCTGGATCCCAGTCGGACTTCTAGGGACCATGCAGAGCCTG